TGGGCAGGCGAGGCAGCAGGCAAGAACAATTGCCGAAGCACTCGAAAAGCCCCAGATTGTTCCTTGACGGAAAAAGATCATGTTCGAGAAACTGCGCAGGCAAAGGGCAGTTTGCAAAAAAGACAAGGCAAGCGGTGCAAGACCTGCATCCCAGCATCAGCTGGGAGCTTGGCTGCCATCAGCTGCTCCTCCTTGCCATCGCTCTGCACTGGCTCTGCCTCTATCGCAACCTCCTGGCCAAGTTTCGGCACCCTCGGGCTCTCGGGCCTGTGGGTGGCCACCTCTCGTCGAACCAGACTTATTGGCGGCCCCCCCCGCCGCCCGAGACTCCAGGGCAGCTTTTGTTTCAAGTCGTCAATGCCAATGGTGCCCCTTTGCCCGCCTTCCCTTGTTCGACTTCATCTGCCGCCACGAAGCACCACCACATGAACCTGACAGGCATGGCCATGCCAAATGCCGGGGCCCCGGCCCGCGACTTTGAAACCGCTTGCCGCATTGGAGTGGAGTGCTGGGTGCTTGAACCCAGAACTGCTTCGAGGTGGAGATGCCCCGCGTACAGCAGTCAATCCCTGATGCAACAGCAGAGCAAAGAGAACAAAGGCAAGCAAACATAGCAACAGGGAGCACAGACAAGGCCCAAGACAAAATGCTTCATCTAGCCTCCGTATTTTCGGCAAAACCGTCGCCGTAGGTCGCCGTGAAGCTGCGGAGATACATCGAGCTGAGGCCAGAGACCGGCCAAACCAGAAAGCCCCCACGCGCAGCTACTTCCACAGGCACGACCAGGCAAGGAGGGGGAGGAAAGCAAGACGGCGGAGAAGGGAGAAGCAACGAAGCAAACTAGAAAACCGGAAGGACAAAAAGCACGCGGAGGAAGACCAAACACAAACAAACAAGCCACGGCTGGGTCCGCTTTCTTGTCGAGGACAGTGGATCTTGCGGTGGTTTCGGGATAGCTCTTTGGGTCGGTTCTGGCACCGGTTTGGGAGCGTTGCTCCAGTCCAACCCACATCACACACAAGCAGCAACTCATAAGCAACTCTCAGCCAAGCTTCCCACCGCATCAACCCTGAACCCTCCGACCGATAGCCCGAACCGAGCCTCATTCAGCCCAAAAACCAAGCCTCAACCAAGCCCAAGCCAACCCTCAAATCAAGACCAGACCAGCCCCAAACCAACCTTCACTCGGCCCTTAGCTAGCACCAAAATCCCATGTGCACTGCCCCTTCGCCCAACCAACCACTATAATTACAGAGTCCTTCGATGAAAGGATGGAGCTTCCGGCCCGCCGCAGCAAATGTAAACGTATCCCGTTGTTTCAGGTTTAGGCGCGCCTGCCGCACTCACTGCGGCATGTACGCCCAGGGCAGGAAGCTTTGTAGGAGTTTGACGTTTGCTTGCCTTTGCTGTTGTCATGGCCTTTTTGAGTCCATTTTCTCAGGAAGACCAATCGGAAATAGTTGCAGATTGAAAGAGTGAAGATAGACTCACAAGACCACACACTTCGCTCATGCTGATTTGCGTAGGAAATCCTGACTGCTTCCCTATGAACTCGGGCCAGAGGATCGCAGCGCAGCCAAATCAGTCGGGGCAGAAAGCCTGATGGGCTACCAAGGGCTGATACGGGCATCGAACCGGTTGACCGGGTTGATCTGGAGATGGCTTCACAAAAGATTTGCGGGTTAGCCGCATTGCGGCCAGCCAACCAGCCGTGATCCAAGCGGCTGAAGCGAACGTCTTCCAAGTCCTAAGGCTGACAATTGCGCAAGCCGGCTTCGCGGCAAACAGCCAAAGGGTAAAGCCCCCGCCTCATGGCCAATGGCCCTGCATTGACTGCCAAGCTTTGCCAAACACTGCCCAGGCAAAACGAGGATCCTTCGAGCAGTGCCAGCATCAGGCATATTTGGCCGTGACTGCGTTAGACTTAGGAAGTAAACGCAAGATGCCACCGAACCACTCGGCGGAATGTAGGAACCATTCGCGCCAAGCGTCACCCACCATGACATCCTCCAGAGGCGCCAAGAGAACCGCGCCCAGTCCTTGAGCGCAGGCCCGGGCCGACATCCAAGAGCAAAGAACTCTCAGTTGATCCTTCCCCACCAAGCAATTGAAACATCTGTAGGACCCGCTGACCCCACCCCCGGCCCCTGGAACTTGCAGCACTGGCCGCCGAAAAGGGTGGTCCTGCAGATCCTCGAGCTCCATCTTGCTTTTCGGCATGCAGCGCCGAGCCCACGTGCTGCAAAAATGCCGCGCCTAGGCCAATGCGTGGGCTGTGTGGCTGTGGCCGCTTTGGAGCGGGGGGTCCAAAAGCCACATCGCAGCATCCTACACATTTTGGGGAATCCGTGGCGGCAATTGCATTTGTTCCGTTTGCGACACTCCCCTCACCTCACCCGCTCACAACCCCCCCCCCTCCCCGCCCCTCGCTCTCATGCTCTCAACCGCCCCACGACCCATTCCATATCCAACCTGTTGACTTGGATTGCTCCGCCATTACTCCTATGTGAAGCACTCCCCATCGATGAGTAGATCCACACGTTCTAGCAAGTAGCCAGCCCTTTGAACCAGATTGGCCGGGCGCTGCGGTGCCACTTGCAAACTACCCAAAAACATGAATGGCTGTCACCCCTTAGGGTGTCCATGGGAGTCAATGCCTTTCATCTTCCCCAACACCGAAGGTCCGACTTGGATATTTCGCGAGACCTGCTCTGCACCCTTTTGTGCAATGGCACCTCCAACTCACCAACATGAAAGCTAACAACGACAACAAAGCCCTGAACGTGTATGCTGTGCCAAAGCGGTACTATGAAATTGCTTTCGCGAACCCTTTCTCCATGCTTTTAGAATTGCTTTCGCGGCGGTTTCGCACGCCCTTTTAGACTGCATGCCCTCCAAAGCTGCAGGTTCCTTTTGACGATGGCCATTGGCCTTTCTGCAAGTAAGTGCACCCCAGATGTAAGACTGTGTAAAACAACTCCCGCTCATCATCAACATGCAGGCATTCGCGGGGCTTCCTTCTTGAGGCACCTTCGTTTTTGCTTTTGCAGGCGGTCTATAGGACACCCCCCTTTACTACTTCGCATTGGCAGGGTTTATGGCGCTGCTCAAATGAGATCAGGTGGAATCCCCGACAAGCCCCGAAAGCTTTGGAACCCTCCGGAACCCGCTACTCACCCAAAAGCTCTCTCCCGCTTCTCTCTTCTGCAGCATGGTCCCTCTCAATTCTGGGCAGCACACCCTCTGCGCGTAGCTCCTGAAGCCCGCGACCCGCAAATCCTACCTATGAAAAAACACAATGGGGTTGATTGCCCAGGGGACGGCTCGCTTGCTGTGCCAGTGTGGCTTGGATTGAACTGGCTTGATGCTGACGCCGGGCTGACCATGCGTGGCCTCAAGGCTTTCCGGCTCCTGCAGCGCTGGCCAAGATGACATAGTTGAGCATCAAGCCCTGCATGAACCTACTTGTGAATTAAGTCCTGTTCAGAAATCAGCCAAAAAAAGCGTGAATGATCATTGGTGCATGGCCAGGTTTGGTGAAGTGTGGGAAATGCATCTGGTAGCCGGGCTTCCTAAGGGTTCCAACTTTGCCGGCATAGAACCTTGTACAGTACACATGTGCAGAACATGGTCAACGTCTCGCATTACGCTTCTTGAGCCAGGCGACCGGCACGTCTCACGCCAGCCCAGTGGCCTTGAATCGGGAGTTCCCTCACGCGCCCAACATCCCTGGGGCTGGGGGACCCTTGAGGTGCTCCAACCAATGCTCAAAGCCAGCCTTGCACGACGGCTCACACTGGGCAACGTGACACTTGTGCAAGGAATCGGCCGACACCCATCGGCCCATCGCCTGCACGTCCAACACTGCCACTGCCCCGATCAATCTCCGACTATTATTGGCCTTGCAATGCAGAGCTCAGCAACGCAAGCACCAACTTCATGGCGCTGCTTGCCCGCTTTCAACGCCAACCGCCAGGGTCAAAATCAAAAGCAATGCAGTGGGTTGGTCGAATCTTGGGCTGGCACGGCCGCGTAGTGGCGAGCCGCCTGGCACTTACTAATCCCTCAGCCTCAAAATGTGCGAAGCCCGCGTCTCCTCCATGAGGTCTGCGGCCCCCAGCAAATGGGCCTGGTGCGCGGGGGCTAGTGAGTGCTTTGAAGAAGCGTGCTTAGGCCCCAGACAGCGGCGAAGCTGTGCAAGAGCATCCGCTCCGAGAAAAGAGCCTTCTCCAGCCTTGTCGCAAGCAATGCACCAAAAGCCACTGCAGTTCTTTGAGCAGTTCGCAGTGAAGCATTTGGAAGGAAAATCCACTCGCCTTGACTCACAGGCTATCGGTTGGGACGCTGCCAAGTAAGCAATCCATCAAAGCACCTACAAGGAATGAGTTGCTGGTGCCTGAAGGCTTCCGGGATCTGTGAGCTGTGAAGGACCCCGCCAGGTGAAGTTCCAGATTCCCTTGAATGTCCTTCCAGAGGCGAGGGCTCGGCATCACCAGCTACACCTCAAACAAGCAACGGGCACGGGAGGCCATGGGCACCCGAAAAGTTCGATGCTTCGATGCTTCGATGCTCGTGGACATGCCCCAAAACACTTGCAAACCTCGGGGCCGCAGCCAAGAAGGCCAAGCAGAAGCGGAAGGGCCTCGGACCATGCCAGCCACTGCGATTCTCTGCATCGAGTTCACCAGGTTGAAACAAGTACTGGCCGAGAACGGTGATCAGTGATCACACTTTGGAATGCTCATGACCGCACACAACATCATGCTTAGACGCTCAAGACCGCTCTGAAACGGGAGATGCGCTGGCCTCTGGAAAAAATACTCTTGCCAGATTGCGGGCACCCAAAAGAGCCCCTTCGCCCGCCCGGGCGCGCCCTCGCTCACTCGCCGGCCTCGCGGCCCCCAGGTGAGAGCGCCGCGAAGAGATGCTGCAGCTCCTGGCCGCGGAGCGGCGAGGAGCGGAGGCCATCCGCTTCAATCTTCGAACTGGTTTGGGAGGCTAAAACCTCCACCATGTCAAACGATGGTGATGATGGTGATGATGCTGTTGATGATGAGGAGGAGGAGGAGGAAAAGGGAGCTGGTGATGAGCATCATGAGGATGGGGATGATGTCTGTCATCATTACTGTGACAGTCATTGTTGTTGCCGGGCCCCGCTAGTGCGTGGCATCTTGCAGACACCTTACAAGAACAATACTTCTTTAGGAAGTCCATGGCAGTTTTGGAAACAAGCCCACATGACTGCACACCTCACAACAAGCTTAGAAAAACCTTCCGCCCAAGGGAGGGCCGGAAGGCGTTAGGCAAGGTGGCGTGAGCCAGCCTTGATGCACCCATCTCAAACTCAAGCGACCTATTAAGCGCATGCCCACTTTGTAGACGCTTTCTGGGCGCGTCATAAGCATGCAACAGGTGCTGCATCACCGTACACCACCTGCCCCGTCTCATCAGCCAGCGGAGCCTTGGCATCAGCAGGCGGCAAGATACTTGCTGGCGCTTAAATCGCAAAAGGGGCTTGGAGGGGCAGCGCTGCACAGGTAGAATTTGCTTCGCCGCGTTGAAACTGGGGATGCCAACAAATGCAACCCGAAACCTCCGTGCCCTTTGTGATAGCCTCACAACACTCCATCTCACTCAGCGTAGCTCAAAGAAAGCTGCTCGTTGTGCCAGTGCTGCCTGGAAACAGCGTCCGAGGCTCGTCAGGACCCGAACGAAGAGCATTCCCCAAAGTGGCTCCACAAAAGTGCAAAGGAAAGTTGCAAAAGGAAGGGTCTGCATGATAAAAACGTGCCGAACCTTGCAGGCTTCGATGCAGCCATTCGGCCTCAAGCTCATGTCAAAGCAAAGGGAGGATCCGACAGGGTCCAGTCACCACTTGCGTTCATCCAAAGGGGCCTAGCTTCGGATGCGCTGGAAAAATCGGGCCAAGCAATGCGCAGGCAGGAAGGTGAGTCAGCATCGCAAGGGCTTCAGGCGCCCGCAAGTTGAACCGCACCGTCTCCTGCAGCCCACCCAGCCCGGATTCATGCTGCCAACTTATTATTCTCGCACAGGTGTCCAAACATTCCGCACTAGGGATACCTTCATGGATGAGCTTGCTTACCCTCAGCTGCGGCGCGTGCAACACACAAAAGGAGGTCGCGCATTGCGTTTCCCTCTCTCGGCCCGCCTCTACTTGCGACACCTCGGCACACACACACACAGACAAGTCTGCATGAGGCACGGCCGAAATTACTTACACGCGGCCGTTTGTCTGGGAGCCCTCTATCGCTTCCAGCGTTTTGTGTTTTCTGACGTGCAAGTATCAGAGGCAAGAAGACAAGGAAAGGAAAAGGACGGAAAGGGAAGGACAGGGAAGGAAAGGAACGGCAGGAAGGGAAACCTCTTTCGGCTGCAGCGCGTCAATCTGTCTAGCCAGGCCTGTCACACAGAAAGACGTCTCCTGCGCGCCGAGAAGAAAAGCTATTCAACACTGCGCTTCGCCGCAGGCTCGCCCCAGCACTCACCCACCACCACTCCTCCCATCGATAAGGTCAAGCGGCGCACTCTATTTACCTCGCAGAGCGGCTGTTGTGGTTGCTGCTGCTGCTGTCAGAACTGCTACTGGAACTCATGCTCTCTTCGGAGCTTGAGTTGGCAGCATCAGCAGCTACTGCGCCACCACGCTGCGCTGTTCGCAGCTTTCTCTTGGCAATTTGCTTCTCTTGCGTTTCTCGACAAGAGCCTCGAAACCAAACGCCTCCACTTTCCCCGTGCACTTCAAATTGACTCCCGCTGACAGCAGACGCTGCTGCTTTTGCTGCCGCTGTGTCGTGGCATTCTCCTCGCGCAGGGGGGGGTCCGATCTTGGTGCCCCACTGCGTTCTCGCTCCAATAGCCTCGCCTGTGTTCCGTTTGCGGGTCTTCTACCCAGGGTGGTGTTCAAGTTCACGGCACTGGCCATGGAGGAAAACATGTGGCCCAACCTTTTGTGGCAGCTCAATTGAGTGGAGCTCACGCAACGTGTCTTGGAGATATGGAAATCTTGCGCCACCATGTTTTTGGAGTCAATCAGTGTCCAAGGCCTCAGATCCTCAAAATCCAAAATGTCGATTCCGCGCGTCCGCGCTTTCTCCACGCACGCTCGAACACTCTGAACAGGCGGTCAGCCTCCGACTTCATGGGCTTCTTCACCCCGTAGCAGCGTGCAAGTCGATGCAGTATAAGCCACTGGGTGGAGTCGGACTCCTGCATTTGTTGCTACGACTTGCAACAGAAAGTGATGCCTCAAGTTGCAGATGTCATCTCGCGTTGGCGTTGTGCTTTGGCTTTGGCTGCACACATGCCAGCCTACCTCTTGGCGTTGATGACTATGTAGCAGCCCGGCCCTTAGAACATCAGCCTGGCTTACATCTTCGTGAGTTGAGACGTTTCATGTGGAACCATAGCGAGAGGCAAGCCTGCTGCAAACAACAGTTGCCTTGCGGCCTTGCGGCCTTCCTCGTGATGCGGGACATTGTG